TGTAATATAATCTATACTATATATAAAAACAAAAATCGTGTCGCTGGCCGCGGCGAGGAAGGCCGGAATTGGCCTCCTCAGCTGCCGCCTCGCCGGCTGAACCGGCCTTTAATTTTTTTTTTTGTTTTTTTTTTTTAATTTGTAAAGTGTCAAATGTTCGGCACGGCATAACTTTTGACTCCGTTGTCCGTTTTGGACAAATGTTTTTTTTGAAATCGTGTATTTTTTCGAGATCTATCCACCGCAAACAGCCGTAGGCGGTTTGGCCCACCAATTTCTAAAAAAAATACTTTATTAAAGAGTTTCTAAGAAAAAACTATGAGAATATTATGTTTTATTAATGAATTTTTAAAATTTTTAATTAAACAATTGTCTCGTGCATTATTTAATAATCTTTCTTTATAATTGGTCAAATTATTTAATTATGGTAAATTTGAGAATAATTAATGATGGTAATAGAAATCTTAGAAGAATATAGAATTGAACAATATTTAATTATTGTTATATTATTATTGTGACTCACGGAATACAAGAGTTAATGCCATTTTTGGTCCTAGACTTATTGTCACTTAGTAGTCACTATTATTGATCGTTGGACAGTTTTGATCCTCCGTCAATGACGCATTTTGTTGACCTTGAATTAGAAGGGTTTTTCTGTCTTTTTATGTTCTAATCCTTGTATTTCTCCATCCATTGGTCACTGCTACATCCATTTCTTCAAACTGAGGTTATCCGCTTTAGTCCTTCCTAACATTAAGAAACCATCTTCACCCAACTAACAATCACGAATTTTACATTTGACATCAATCTCAAGATAATGGAAACAAGTGCAGTTGGAATAGAAAGGGCGTTAGTCCATGCCTGTGAAAATTTTGTCGAGCATACAACATAACTAGCAAAGTCAGGAATATCACCCAACCCCTCCCTTAACCTTTCTGCATCAACTATAATAGGTATGCCCCTACTCTTTGCCTCCTGCACTACAATCAAAGCAGTCTCATGCAGCCTTCCATCTAAGTAGACAATATTTACTCCAAGCGTTGAAGACAATTTTGATTTGGGTATGTAGACCCTCAGGTATCATGGGTGGATATCCTGGAGTGAAAATGCACGTGCGAGTTTTTTTTTTTTGGTTGTCAACAATGACATGTGAATGGTGAGTTTCCTCCTTTGGACACCACCATAAAAGATGTATCAACACCATCCCTTTCAAGCTCATCAAGTATTCTTTCGTCATGCGAGTCATCAGCAACCTTAGATATGATCCTTGGATTAAGACCAAGACGAATTTTATCATCCGGGTTTTATCAAAGCATTGCCAGTGTTACCACCTCCTTGAACCTCAAAGCTGGTGCTCCGAATTTTATCATCCGGGTTGGGGAATGAAGCTACAGCAGCCAGGAAGTCAACACCGGCCATTCCAACACCTCAGACAATGCGATTTTTGGGGAGCGGCAGATTCCACATTTTCAGCTTGAAACTTCAATGAATTTCAGGTAGAATAACAGAGTTTTTGAGGTTGTGCACCAAGTAGTTGTGGTCAGAGACAGAGAGAGAGAGAGAGAGATGGGAATGATATTTGTGGTCAATATGGAAGGGAGGACTTACAGGTGCAAATTCTACATCACGCCATCTACAACTACAACTACTATTTACCATAGGAGGGTTCGCCGACCTGCTGCCCTCTCTGCTTCACCGGAACCAAAAACCACCGGTGAAGGCCCCAACCTCGCCGGATCTGTTGCTACACCGCCAGATCTGCCTTATTGGTCCGTCGCCGGAAGGAGTTACTGCCTCGTATGCTCGCCGCCGTACCCACAACTCGCCGGAGAAGAACCTCGCTGCTACTCACTACCGACGGTTACTACTTAGCCGCCAAGTCTCGCCATCTCGCCATCTCGCCTCACAGGAGTCACAGCAGCGCTGGTCTAAACAAGATTAGAAGAATAAGACATAAAGAGACAGAAAAGTCCTTCTAATTCACGGTCAACAAACGACTTCATTGACGGAGGATCAAAACTGTCCAACGACCAATAACAGTGTCTACTAAGTGGCAATTTTTATTATGGAGGATGAAAAGTGTCAATGCCTCAATAAGTCTAGGATAAAAAATGGCATTAACTCCGGAATACAATACAAGAATATTTAATTATGGTTATATTATTATTGTGCCTCACGACCATTATATACTAACAGTACTTGAAAAGAAAATAATAATAATAATAATAATAATAATAATAATAATAATAATAATAATAATATAATAATAATAATAATAATATAAGTGGTAATAATAAATCTAAAAGTAATTAAGTGTTAATAATAATAATAGTAAGAATATTAACGTAAGAGTTGTAACATAAAATAAATTGTAATAATTAATAACTATAGTCTAGAATTAAATTTAGAATTGTCAGGAACGATAAACGACCTCTGGTGAAATCAACTCTTAAATAATTATATATAGATTTAAATATTCTTAATATATTACAACAATTCCATTCCGTTCATCGCACGGGTGAAAATACTAGTTGTCAATAAAATAATTGTATGGGTATGGTTGAAACCAAATATGGGACATAAGGGAGAGTAAATAAAAATTAAAGCATAAAATATTAAATATATACTAATATTGTTTGAGGAGATTTCGGCAGTAGGATTTATGGTTAGAGTTCTATTAAGACTTTAATATTAGAATTAGATTAATGTCGTAGTTATAATTCTATATTAGACTTTAATATTAGAATTAGACTAACGGTGAATTAACGGTACTTAATGGAAAAGTTAACGGATCGGATAATCATATAATTAAGGATAAATTAGAAAATCTCAAGGAAAAATTAAAATCTGAACAATCTGAACTATGAATTTGATTTAATAATTTGACGGTCATTTTTGCTACCCAATGTTTATGATTAAATAAATATTTAAAAGTATATAAATGCAAGATTATATATGAGAAGTTCAACATAAATAATTCAATGTCTAATTTGTTTATTTAAATATGTAATTCATAGTATATGAATACAATGTAATATAGGAGATTCATTATAATTGTTACTAAACTTTTTTTAAATAGTAACCAAGTATTTTTGTTGCAAAGGGTTCTAATATATTTAATAAATACACATATATACAAGATCAATGATTGAATCAACGGTACCAGTCCTTTATGTGTTTTACTCAGTGTTCATTTAGTTCAACCATTATTGTTGAATAAATTATTATGGATAAATAAATTCCTAATTTAAGGAATTTAGATGTAGTAAAAATTTAATTTTTTTTTAATTATAATGTAACCCAAAGATATTGGACGATTGGTAAATATGATGTAACCCAAAGATCAAAATGCTAAAGAAAGTGTTTTGGCTATTCAACACTTTGAAGCAACAATTTGTTCCAAACTACTAAAAATACAAACATTGCAATTTACAATATTTTCACTTAATGTTTTTGAAAATGATTTCTGCAAAACACATCTATATTTTAAAAAAATTATTATTAAAACAATTATTATTATTATTAGGTCATTTTAAACAGCTAATTTTTTCAAATATCTTTTTACCAACTTTGGATATAATTCGTTGGTCAAATTCGCTAATATAATCCGCTAACTGCTGATTGTCAAACAAGGACATTGCGAGGTAGTTTCTCACTTCAATTTGTTGTGATTTGAATACTCTCTTTGTCAACAAATCTCTCAAGTAGTTAATATAATCGGTTTTATTAATTTAAAATTTTAAAATTTTTTTATAGTATTAATAAAATACTTGGTAAATAAATATATAGCATTATTTTGTATTATAACTTTGATATTTAATTAAAAAATAGTGCACAAAAAAAATAATAGACAATGTAGTTAATATAATCGATTGATGAATTTGAATGTAAATAATTTTTACATTAGAGAAAAATAAAGACAATATAACTAATGAAATTATTTCTCTTAATTAATTTATTGATAATGAATAATTTTTTTTTAATAAAGACATTGTAGGGAGAATGTAGCGAATATAATCAATTGATGAATTTGAATTTTGAATGTAAAAAATTTTTATATTGGAGAAAAATAAAGACAATATAACTAATGAAATTATTTTTCTATTTTCAAAAAAAAAAATGAAATTATTTTTCTTATTTAATTTATTGATAATGAATAATTGTTTTTGAATAAAGGCATTGTAGACACATAAAAATGCATATGTATTATTTTTTTGTTGTAGCTACTAAATTATTATTTAATTTAATAAGAGTAAAATAGAGTACTAATTATGCCAACTTTGATTGGGACGTGGTTCGAACCTAAGACCTTTCTTATTGAAATCAATGAGTAAGTTAACAGTAAACTAACAGAAATTAACGTAAAAGATAATATTTAACGGAAAAGTTAACGGATAATCATATTCATTAAGGATAAATTAGGAAATCTTAAAGAAAAAATTAAAATCTAATCAATCTGAGTCATTCATTTGACTAAAAAATTTGACGGCTATTTTTTTTTTTTTTTTTTACCTATTATAGACCTAATTCTCTTGAGCTCTTATTAGTATAGTAGATAGACAGTAAATTTATACACACACGATTGAAGTGTTCCGTATTAAAAAAAAAAAAACAATTAATGATAAATTTATTAGTTTAGAATGTTCGTGTAAAAATTTTAACAAACAATTAAACTTAACTATTGAAGTACAAGGAAGTCCTAATTTTTATAATATTTCATTACTCCAATTTACATATAATTTATAAAATTCAAGTACATAGGTTAAGCTTAAAAAAATAAAAAAGAATAGCTAAACCTTAAAATTGAATAGAATTCAGTTGTCAACCACAACATACAGATATCATTGGTGAGATAAATACATCAGTATTGACATAATGACATGCCAACTATTCGCATGTGCAAACATTTTCTTGCTCGGAAGTTTTATCAACATCCAATTGATTATATTTATTAAAAAAATAAAAATAAATAAAAAGAAGCAATTCTTGAAAATAATATATTGACTTTCAGACTGTACAGTGTAGAAGCAAGCAACAATGAGTGAATTCCAAGAAGATCAGAAGCAGTATTCCTGGAGGTGTAAAGTAGTGTTGGGGAAGATGATCGTGGACACTGTGGTGGCAAAACATCATCGGACCATCGAAAGAAACAGTCTTGTAGTTCTTATCCACCTACTCTACCTACTCTCTCAGTCTACCCGTTCCTTTGGCGCACACCCAACGCCGCCTCCAATTCCTCTTCTGCCAATCCCTTCGGCACGGCAGCTTTTATGGCAGCTCTCGGAGATGGCCATGTTTCTCCACTTTGGGCCCAACACTTTCGTGGGTTCGGAGTGGGGGTCGGGTCACGTTGACCCGTCGATCTTCAACCCGGCTAGCCTCAATGCCACCCAGTGGGTCTCCGTTGCGAAGGAAAATGGGTTCACAAGATTGGTCCTCACTGCTAAGCACCATGATGGGTTCTGTCTCTGGCCTTCTCTCTACACTAATTACTCCGTCAAGTCTTGCCCTTGGAGAAATGGGTCCGGTGATATAGTGGGCGATTTGGCTCAGGCTGCCAAGGCTGCTGGTCTGCAATTGGGTCTTTATCTTTCACCTTGGGATAGACATGAGTCTGTATATGGCAACACTGTTGAGTACAATGAATTCTATTTGGGGCAGATGACTGAGTTGCTTACAAGGTAAAGTTCATTTCTTTTCTCTTTTTTCTTTCTTCCCCTTTAAAAAGATTCTATTTTGAAGTAATCTTGGAACTGTAAATATGAATTGTAATTGTTCTACCCTTGCTTCTGCAAATGGGCTGTGTATGGGCAATTGAAGAAACTTTCTCCTGTCAATTTCATAAAGTATTTGTGAAGAAAAGGGTTAGGTATTCTTTTTCTTTTCCCATGTAGTTGCCAGTTGGTGATAGTTGGTAAGGAGTAGTATTTATAGAACTGATGTTCAGTATGACAGAATGTAGAATGGGAAGTTTTTCATCAGATAGATACTTAAAAATATGAAAAATGAAATCTAAGACACATAGACATTGTTTTGAGATGTGAAATATGGAGTAGGTATTTTGGATAATTATGGTATCTTTCTTGCTTCATAGAATTTGTCAATTGGTTAGGGTAACAGAACATATTTAATTATTTAGGCTGACTTGGTGTTTTTAGGCAAATAAGCTATTTTCATTGTTCCCAAAAGGTTGAATCCCCAACCCAAGGGCCCCTCACGCCCTTGCCCGACAGAGCGTCTGGGAGGATGTAAATCATGGTAACTCAGTTGAACACAGAGGCAATGGTTATTGCAAAAAGTGATTTTTTCTACATGGCATCGATCTTGTTAAAGAAATCTGTGATTGTAGTTGGATTCATAAACTAACGTTAGATGGGGTGTGTATATGTGAAATCCGTTATGAAGAGTGCTTGATTTAATAACCATAAGTCCATAACATTATGCAATGCAGATATGGTGAGATTAAAGAAGTGTTCCTGGATGGTGCAAAAGGTGAGGGCGAGAAGGATATGGAGTATTATTTTGATGATTGGTTCGACCTTATCCATCAGCTCCAACCTGGGGCCACAATCTTCACAGATGCTGGCCCCGATACCAGATGGATAGGAGATGAAGATGGTATTGCCGGGACGACTTGTTGGTCCCTTTTAAATCGTAGCGATGTAACTATTGGTGGCAATGATTACGAGTGAGTCCTGTTTTCCATGACATTGTCGCATCTTTAAGTTTATGAGATCATTTAAAGACTATTTCCTTTACATTTGTTTTTCTGATACCCAACAGATATATAGGAATGGGAGACCCTTTTGGTCGTGATTGGGTGGCTCCCGAATGTGATGTTTCGATACGACCTGGCTGGTTTTGGCATGCATCGGAAGCTCCCAAGACTGCGATGGATCTTCTTGACTTGTACTATAAATCAGTTGGCAGAAACTGCCAATTGTTGTTAAATGTACCGCCAAATACTTCGGGTCTTATATCAGATGAAGATATACAAGTCCTTCGAGAGTTCACCAAGCTTCGGACTTCAATTTTTTCCCGTAATCTAGCAAAATCTGCTCGTTTTTCTGCCAGCAGCACAAGAGGTACAAGTGACTTCCGATTTGCCCCCTATAATGTTATTAAAGAAGGCATCTATACTTATTGGGCTCCAGGACGAGAGCAATCGGAAATCATATTATACTTGGATTTTCAAGAACAAGTGACGTTCAACATGTTAGAAGTTCAAGAGCCAATCCATATGGGGCAGCGGATTATTGCATTCCATCTCGATGTATTGAACGAATTTGGGGAATGGCAGGAAGTAATAGATGGAACGACGGTGGGATACCGGAGGTTGCTGTTATTTCCCGTGGTTAAAACGTATAGTATAAGAGTTGTGATTGACGAGTGTCGGGAAGAACCTTTGATCTCTTATTTGGGATTATATATGGATCCCTATTCTAATCTGGAACACAAGTCTAGTTCATGGTTTGGATCGCTGCGCTTCAATGGCAGCCGGGTGAGGGAATGGCTTTCTGGTTTTATGTAGGCCTGGCTGGATTTCAACGCCAACGAAAATGTTATGTTGGTACGTGTTTTGATACAAAAATGTGTACTTCTCTTTCGGTTTTGCCATTTCTATTGCCCCCTCTTTTCTTAATGATCTCATAACTTATCACTGGTAATCCTTTTTGTTTCCTCAGATATGGTTTTGGGTTGTTTTTAGTTTCTTAATGATTTGATTGTTTTGTTGAAATGGCAGTTTGCAGTGGGGAAGGCTAAAGCAAAAGCAGAATGCAATAAGGTATTGCACAGAAGTTTGGTCTGTCATGGGATGCATTTCTTGCTATAAATCCAGTTTTGTTGGTGAATGGGCATGAAGAAGTGAATCTAAGAAACCAAAACAACTTGTTTTGGATTAATCGTAGCTTCAATGCTTCATTCATGATAATGGAAGGATCTTTTCTGTCTCATTTAGCAAATTTAAAGTGACAGTACATTTATCATTTTACATATATTATGTTCAAATTTAGAGCTGTCAAAACAAGTTGAGTTTAACTATCCCATTTTGAAAACGGGTTGGGATTTTTAGCCCAATCTAGGTAGGCGCGGGGGCATGGGTTGGTAGGCTAAATGGGTTAGCTCGCCAGCCCACTTATTATTGTTGGGGATTGTACGGGTTGGCCTGCGGGTTACACACTTAATTACATATGTCAACATGTATAACTCGTATACTGCACACAAGCTAAACGGACCGGAGAAATTTTCAACTCATCCCGTCTAAAAATCTGGCTAAACCTGCCTAATGGATAGTTATGCTGTGCATCTGTATGCACCATGCATGGTGTATACGGATGCCAAAACGACGTCGTTTTATTAAAAAACGTGCGTCTCCCCTTTAAAAAAAATTCAGGTTCGATTCCCAGCAACAATATTATATTGTTCATTCATTCTGGAATTTTAGTTCATAGATTATGGAATTATAGTTCATCGATTCTGGAATTGTAGTTCATAGATTATGGAATTTTAGTTCATTCATTCTGGAATTTTTAGTTCATAGATTAGATTCTGGAATTATAGTTCATCGATTATGGAATTATAATTCATCGATTATGGAATTATAGTTCATCGATTATGAAATTTTAGTTCATATGTTGTTGGGAATCGAACCTGATTTTTTTTTTTAAGAGGAGGCGCGTTTTATTAAAACGACGTCGTTTTTGCATCCGTATGCACCATGCATGGTGCATACGGATGCACAACATAATTTGCCCCTGCCTAACCCGACAAAACAAAACAATGTTATACCATGGACTAGGGTCCACCTTGCAAGGTAGACCATAGTCCTAAACGATATATAAATTATGTATTTTTAGTACTAAAATTGTGAACTTCTAAAATATAAATTGTGTTTCTAGATCAAAACACATAATACAATACAAGGTCATCAAATCCTAATCTGTTAATATTGTACTGTAGTATTTGAAAAGAACTCGTGAATATAAAACAAAGTAATCAATCACATATATTTTAATATTGTATGCTCGTAGTAAACAAATTGTGAATTTGTAAAAAGTAAATTGTGAACATTTGAACCCGAGTCCAATAATTTGCGACACAAATCATACTTAACAAGTTAAAAGTTGGCGAACATTCCAAGTTTCCTAACATGAGGTTAAATAATTTCCCCAACATAGGGCTTCAAATATAACCAAGGCCGGCTTTACTTTAATGAATTAACAGAGCCTTTTTGTATTTTGTATTTTGTATTTTTTTAGTTAATATATATGCTGGTTTCTCCAATGCCTTCAGACACCCTATAAATAGTTCACCAGAAAAGCAGTGAAGAACACAATCAAGATTCAAGATTTCATAGCCTCAAAGCAAGAGTTAGAGAAAACAAATTGAACCCTCAATGGCTCAAACATCTGACAAGTTTTACACCATGGTTCTTGTTCTCTCTTTTCTTCTGATTCTATCACACACCGAGAGTCGAATTCTAACTGGTATATTTTCAAACATTTGCAATAACGCAACTTCTAGCTTTTGTTTGAAGCTTTACATTCTATTTTAACTTCGTAGCGACATTTTTTTTCCTAACTAATGATCACGATACAGCTACAGGAGGAAAGACAGATGCAACGCTAAATTGCAACAGTGCTGTTGGAGCAGAAAGCGGTGATACCTGTGAGAGTGTTGCAACGGAGTTCAACCTGACACTGGACGAGTTCCTCGGACTGAATCCCAATATCAACTGCAACAGCATGTTTGTTGGTCAATGGCTGTGCGTTGCTGGATCTGCCTGAAATGAAGCGAATCAAAGAATGAAGGATGGAATCTTGCAGGAATAAAAAGAAGCTTTAAACTCTTCTCTTGATGGGAGTCTTTTCCATCAATGCTACTTTCTTCTTCTTAATTAGTTGCAATCTTCGTTTTTAGTTGTTGGTTCATGAACAAATAATCTTGTACCTGAAAGATCAGGCCTTTGGCTTTGTTGAGGCAATTCAGCATAGCTTGGAACTATTTTCACCTAACTTGTGAACGCTCTTCTTGTTTATTTCAAAAATACAAATTTGACAAAAACAAACTACTAGAATAGCAATGATATATAACACGTCAGCTGTAAACTATGAATCCATCTGGGATATAGGTAGTAAGCATTAAAAATAAACTATGGAGCACATAACCAGCTTGGTTGGCGTGAGTGGCGGTGCACTCTCGTCCCTTAAGAGAGGTCGGGGATTAGTCTGGCCAACACTTTGTCCCTTAATTGGGCCGGGCCGGTGCAAATGGGGATTAGTCTGAGTATGGTACGGGCTTAAAGGTGCCTCCTACAGTTAGGGTCTGCTCACGACATCTCGTGGTCTGACCAAAAAAAAAAAAACTATGGAGTGCGTGATAGGCTCAACACTGGTATGGAGACAAATTTACGAGGTAGGTACTAGGCTAAGCATATAAACCTGAAACACGTATATTTACCTCGAATATTTATGTTATCTTGATATCACGAAGAAGTCGAGCAGCTATAGCACCATATCTTCGTGTTTCCCATTCACTAAGCTTTCTATTTTCCAGATCTACAACTAGCTTGCCGTCCACTATGACTTCATTAATTCTCAAATCATCCTCATCAGCCTTGGAACTATTATCATCATCATCATCATCTTCATCTGATCCATGTTTAACTTCTCTGGACCCAGACAGCTTGGTCTTCTGAGCGGGCGCATGTGCAATACTTTCTGCACTCTCCACGGACGGCTTTAAGCTCATTATGAATAATTGGATGCTAGGATGCTGGTAATTACTATCCATCTAGAATGAACAAAAGGGTAGAGTTTGGTAAAATATTGACAAATTAAGGGTATTCCAAACTAAATGTGGAACAATTTTTGAAGTAGAAGAGTAAATGAGTGAAAGTTAGAAAGTTGAGGACAAGACCCGTAATTGCCACCATATTCAAGGGATATTAAACTGAATTAACTCTACTGCTTTTTTATGAAGATCTAAGATCTATTGCTCTAAAGTGGAGAAAATCAAGAATTTGTCTCTATCCTGCAAACACTCACAAGCACTATATCATCAAAGAATCAAGATAGATAAAGGCAACTAAGTGTAAGTATTTTAGAGCCTTATTCTATCAAAGAAGTTTTCATTTAGCAGTTCACTAGCAAAACTGAAAAAATTGCTAAAATCATTAGGGCTCACCTAAACAGTGTCATTTTTTGGGTGACACAGAAAAGTTCAGAAACAGTTTGCCAGTTACCTTTGCTTTTGGAACCGTTTTGACCTCAAAATTTCTCTTCCACAGTTCAAGCATCTTTTCATGGACATTCGTTGAGCGAATTTCATATCCCAACTGCAACATTGGAAACAATAGATAAATTGGCATAAATGACAAGAACATGATTTAATGATTCTAAGCAAGTTTCAAATTGCAATACCAAAATTGTGGTTTTGGGTCCAGATAGTGCAAGAATTGTCTGCAGAAGTGGTTCCAGGAGGTGCTCTGAATAAACCTAGTAAGCACAAGGATGAAGTTAGCGCTCAATCGCTCATAAATGGAAGGAGATAAAGAAGGTTGAAATGAAGCAAAAGTAGAGCTAATAGACTCCAAAACAGGCATCAATTATGAGAAAAAGAATAAAGGGCAAATCATCGAGGAACAAGCAGAAGTAAAGGAGATTGTTCAGGTTCAGTTTGTAAGTTATAATGCCTGCTAAGAGGTAAAAAGAAATCATGGCATTTCTAGAACTCACAACATCAGTGCCAATGATGTAGTCAAACGGTGGTTCAACAGCTTTGATATGATCTTCATCACCCCAGTCTAGCTCTGCAACCTTTATGGAACCAAATGAATCTAAAAGAAAAAAGATTCGATGTCAAGGCAAAGATAGCACAAACATGCTGTTCAAATGTAAATTGCAAAGGCATTAAAGTATCTACTTAATGAAAGGAGACGGAGCAGTAATTATATATATTCAAATAAAGATCATCTCAAAGAGAGCCAACAGGATTCTAATGCTGAGAACCTTAAGACAGCATTAGTTGTATACCTGAATCAGGGTTCATCTGCATTACCCTGGAAGTATTACGTTCAACATTTCTCATCAACAATGGCAACACCTCAGTTTGGTCTGTTGAAACAACATCACATCCAAGCAATGCCATGCCTACAAAGGTTGATCCACCTCCGTTTTATAGTGTCCACATGAATGACTTGCATTGCATTCAAAGAATAGAGCATGGACGGAAGGAAAAGAGAGAAAGGATCAGTTTACCAAATCCAGCTACTCCACAACCTGCTCCAAGTTCAATTACACGCTTCCCCTTCAATTTGGATGGGCGAAACCTTCCTTTTCGACCATTTTTCTCCTGTAAATTTGAATTGAGTTAGTTGGGTTCTCCAAAATTTAGAATTAGTTTAGTTGATTAGTAATCAGAAAGGCTTCGAAGAAAATGAAACATGTTAAGCCCACAAGTATAAATCCTTCCAGAAGGAACACCAAATCTTACCAGAAACTTGACCAAAACCATTGATGCATCCCAAACTGTAGTACCCAAGTGTTTGGAATTAGGATCCTGCCACAATAATGGGAAAAAGAAGTGAGAAATCTAAGAGAGTATCCGTTTAAGTGGAAGCTACTGACAATCAGGATAGATGTTAAATTCATAAAAGCTATGTCAAGGAAAGTTGTTACAGTGAATAATATTCCCAGAAGACTGGCAACTAAATCCTCTGTATGCTTTTGAAGTAGTTGATGAAAGGGAAATTTTACTTCTGGTCATAGTCATTTGATGTTTTGCTTAAAATTTTCCCTATTAAAAATCAAATATGGCATGCAAGTATGATAGAGCCTAGCTTGAAACTATGTGTGTTTGTATCACAAACCAGTACCCCAAAAGCAAATGAACGTTAATACTAATAAAGAAAAGTGAAGAGGGAAAAGCTATGAGCTTTTGAAGTCTCAATTTG